AGGCCTAGTCCAATTTCTGTCAGACAGAAAGGTGAAACTCTAAGGTGAGGACAAATTTTGACCATAGGTATGTCCTGTATGAAATGAACTCTATACATTTAACCGAACGTGTTCTCGAAATAACGTGAGTGTCCATTAATGTAATTAGTCAGTATTTACTCGTATTGCGCGTTTGATTTATATTATGATTAATCGAAAACCAGAGCATAAGGAAAGTTAGAGGAAACCGGTTTACGAATAATGGTGGGCAGAGAAGGTGTCTGGTATCTAAACACCTTTCATGGAAAACAACTTCTTCACCTTCACTTTCTGTTGGGGTACAATGTGTGCAGCCCATTTCTGGTGTCCCCCGCCGTGATATTGCTGGAATATTGCTAAAAGCGGCGTAAAACCATACTCACTCACTCACTTTCTGGTACAGATCCGTATTCTGTTGTCAAACACAACGTCTGTCATAATCGGAATGAAACCGGGATTCGAACCCACAACAAGCTGGCAGTCCAGGCAGACACATTGCTACATAGAGAGCTGTCGCAGACACCAAGCATCCTGTCACATCACTAGGATCAACATGTGGCAGGTCATTGCCTCATATTGAACGCATTCCAGCCAACTGTTGACGTTCCTATCACATCTGCATTCCAAGGGGTCTGTAGCTCTACTATCCCCTTAATCCCTTCAAATGTAGTGTAGTAATTCTTATCACATCAGTGGCTACTTATGTGGCCCCCTCCGTGTGAGCTAAGCTGTTTGGCAGAAACGAACAGTATACATATTGTTACGAATTGACTCCAAAGTTGAAACTTGAAGGTTCAGCAATAAATCAGTACGAACTAAAATGTAAAATGAACCTAAAATCGGTAATTATTTTAAAACGCACCTGATCATCGTTATTAACCATATACCATAACTCAGTACCCAGTAATTGACAGAATTGGTTACTATAGAATGTCGTGAATAAGGCATGTTGCCGTTCTTGAATCCAGAAAACGATCTTTGAACCAGGCAGAAAGGTGGCACAGAAAGAATAATCAGATTTGTCAAGTGGGAAATGCCTTTCATCACCTTGATCTAGAGGTACAGTCGGCCTTCCAGGAAACGGTCAGCTCGAAGCTGTAGTAAGACCCGGAAGTCAGCGTCTGTAGAGGACCCCCTGACCATAGGAGTTCTCCGTACCGTTTCTGATAACAATGGTTTCCATCACTAGGACGGAGCTTGGACTGTAAACCACCAAGGGTGGTCACTATTTTACGATCTGTCATGGGGCAGTGTGACAATCCTTTATACGCGGTTTCGAATCCCAGATTGGTCCGATTATGATTATTCGTTTGTCAGCACCTTTCCGATAGTAGTTTAGTCAAAGTATAAGACATCCACATTACTGGTTTTTACCTACACGGAATGACGTACTGCTCATGTCACTCAATCATTCCCTCACTCACTTATCCATCCACCCACTCACTCGCTGAGTACAAAACCATGTAGCACACAGGTATTATGTATATTTATCACACTGTTTAGTACATACTACTATGTTATGGTAAAACCTCACTTTTGTTAATGAATACAAAGGTTCAAACTCTTATCCCAAGATAACACACTGGCAATTGAATCCTACAAAAGAAAGAAAACTAAACCTTTGAATTGTTACAATTTTAAAAACATTCATATGTTCCGATAAGAGTTGCAAAAGCCATCAAGCAAAATTTTACGTAATGAGACTGAAAATATATTAAATGATTCAGGTATGATGGATACACTCTCACGTAATACAATATAGCGGATACAAAGGATATTTATCTTCTTTTTTTGTGAAATAATATATCATATTCAGATCAAATATACACAGTGATAAAATCCATAGGCGGATCCAGAGGGGGTTGGGGTGCAAGGGTGGACCTGAAATTTTATTAAATGACAATTGAAACTTTCGTGAAAATGAACTGTGCACACACACACCTCCCCTCCTTTCTCAAAGAGCTGTAACCGCCCCTAAACTCCCACCTTGGTTATGTATACCATGGTTTACCTACTTGTGGTAAAGTTCTACCTACACATGACATACTGCAAGATGTCAATTTCAAGAACGTCACCCACGCGTGTGAGTCAGAACCAATACGGTCTCCAACCGTATCCAATTATTGTAAAAAGACACTTCAACAACTTACACAGCAAGATAGCAGACCATATAACAAACTCGAACACTGGGCACTTTAACGGAGACACGTGTATATACAAATAACAATGTTATGTTCTCAACGTCAATTCAAACACAGAGAAGGTAACTCCACCCATATCTGATTTCAGCTGTGACTGTGGAGTGATATGGTGTGACAGGCTATATACCATCCGGTACATTGCACATTGAACACTGTAATATATATTGCGTTACATCACGTCACTTGACTTCACGTTTCTAGAAAGCCAGATAAGCATCTGTAGCTACAGGAATGTCTGGTACAGTGAACTAGGAAATGAGAGACATTTTCTGTTCAACAGCGTGTGTTACTGTGTGAGTTATGGATGTGTGCTCAATAAGCACGTGTCTTTAGAGCACATTCAACACGTGGATTAGATAGGATATTGCTCCTGCAGTTATGATTTAGTTCCAAAGACATTTCGGATAAGAAGGTCATTCAAACATCGTATAATCATGACTGTGACTAGAAGAAGCCAGTCAGGCATAAAAGTAATAACAATAGTAATTTGAACTTCTGCTCTATACACACACACACTACACACACATGCACACACACACACACACACACACATATTTTATATATATAAAGAAAGTGATGAGAATACCGAGCGTGCAACGCCGCGTCACAACATTTGTATACAGTTGCATTGTGACGACATGACAGAGTGACGTCATAACATAATCCGTTTAACTGTAATCACTTCTCCCTGAAGATAAAAGTGAATCATGTTGGAGAAGATCCGTGTCGTGTGATTATTTCAGAAACTTCTTCTTATATATATATATATATATATATATATATATCAGTTTTATGAAGTATAATATATATATCTCAATAAGTAAAGATTGATGATAAGAAAACGTGCTTTCAACATGGGCGAACACTTGATGTCACTAACTGTCAGTGGTCCACTCATATATGTTTCTCAGATATTTTCTTTTTACGTCGAATGAAATTGAATTTATATCATTACCATTCGTTAGACCATTTTTACATTGATACAGTTTATAATCATTGGTTTACATATTTCAAACTGCATTGTAACTGTAGCTTTGGTTATTGTTTTGATATGCTAGTTATTGTAAACAGCATCATTTAAATTCTTCATTTCAAATTGAAGGCTCTCAAGACGTTGAATATATGCACCTGTACTTCAAAGGAATGTACCGGCGAGATACTGGAATGGTTCCACGGATACTAGATCCAAATACGATCATTAATCAATCGATTTCGAGAGTTTGTGTTCAAAGCTGGCATTAGTCCCTTGCGTGATAGACAGACCATGTTCAGCGTTCTCAAAGTACTGCAATTGTTCAATCCAGTCGGAAGAACCGCCTTCAAAACTATTAGGTCTATTGAACGTAATCAAGCGCAAGCTTCCACGGCGAAGGTCGTAATAGCATAAGGACTCAATGACTGTGTTGTGATAAACAACCCATTTATTCTCAATGTTTTTACTTTCCTCATGGTTGTACGTTAGAACTCTATACGTTGAAACATGCCCCCAGTGTGTTTATGTTAAAGTCTATGGCTATGAACTTATCAAACAAATTATTTTGGGTACACCGATCGAATATCAGTTCTCTGTTGTCTCGAACTATAGTTAATTCGATGTTCCTGTACGTTGTGATACAGACATTTCATGTAAACTAGAGTTGAATGGTAATGAGGTACATCCTGCTCATGAAACAGAATTAGGGCCATTTTTCTCTCTGAGATGAAGTACATGCTTTACGATAGCTTGGCACCGAAAATCACAGGACCTAACAATTGAACGCTGTTACACAAGATACATTTTGAAATATCATATTTTTGTTTACAAAACAGTGTCTCTTATATATAGAGGTAAACGAAATATAACGGAAACACACATTGAATGTTTATTGATGAACAATACGTGATTACAATACTCACAGAAACTGCCACAGGAAGGATGCTCCATGAAGTCTCACACCTGACGTCAGTGGACTTTGTGTACATTTGAGCCGAAAAAAGCACATTCATTGATTTTCAAATAAACGATGTCAAGATACCCATCCATAGTTGTGTACGTTTTATTGTGATTTTAAACTTCTAAATTAAGTTGTATTTAAAAACTAAAACAAAGTGAACGTATTTTTAAGTGTAAACTAAGCACATCTACAGTTCATTTGGGGGATAAAATATCGCTGACTGTACAAATTTTAGCTGAAATTCAAACATGAGATAATGTCAACTGAGAGTTTTCTTTCCCTTTCAGTTTACATACGTTAAAGTGCAATTCCTTTGAAAATATTATCATATATCATCCTATGTATTCATGTGATATTGTCGCAAAGCAATATGAAAGAGGTAAGTTCTATTGACCAGTTTGCTTTCATATGGTAGTTACAACCAAACTGTAATCAAAACCCCATTATAACGGATACAAGAGGCCCCTGTTTCTTTCAGCACTAAGCTCGTAATACAGTTAACAGTTCGCTAATCCTTGAACGCCTTGAATCATCTTGAAGTATACTCGTGTGCCTCACACACTTGACTTCACTTGAAGATTGTCCTCATCTTTAACAGGTCAGCCATCACTAAAACATCCCCAACACAGAGGAGGCGAAACAAGTTTTATAACCTTGTGAAAAACCGGTATGATAAGGTGTCGTGTATGTGGGGGGTCAACGAATAACAAAAGCAAACAAATATGGATATTAGATGGCCAACTCTTTTGGTGAAAATGGACCCAGGACGGGGGTTTTGTATTGACAGCGTTCAAGAGATATAAGATTGGTCTTATCATGGTCTGTAAAATAGTGGAATTAACATAATTTCATAAGACTGCTGAAATATTGGGCAAAGGTAAAATATGTTCATATCTCCTGATTAAACTAATGATCAGTGACTGATCAGTGACATTTTCTATTAACCATGAAATGTGTGTTTGCTAAGATCTCTTAATATTAATTTCCACAAAACCATTCATGTATGCAAACAGATGTTTAAAATCTTTCCCTACCATAAACGGACTAAAGCGCCTGCCATCTAAATATCGTATATCAGGTAAATAAATGTGCAGCATGGTTAAGACGTCAATACACGAGGTTTTGGTCTTTTTTGTCTTCATGTCATAAACTCTTCATATGATAATTTAATTATTTTTCAATTCTTGGTCGCCATGTAAAAACTTCTTCACATGAAAGAAACAACCTAATGTTTTTCATTCGATGTTCGCTCAATGTAGAAATGAAACTATTATCACATATATTATATACAATATAATATAAACAGCAATAGATCTTTTCACAAAAAGTCATGTTGTGGAGAATTTAACGAGATAACATACTGGTCTGAATGCTAGATTCTCACCGATTGTGATCCTGGGAACGTCTGCGCCGTACCATAGTCGCAATCAAGATGGTAAACGACTTGGCCATTTGGCATTCCACTAAATTATGCTTATTGCCTGCCTGATTCGTTTGCAATTATTTTGCCTTTCCCAATTTACTTGGTTTTGCGTGTGTTTGTGATTCACCACCCGTAGATCATCTCTCACAAGCACCTGGTATTGTACATTTTGACTGTGATTCTTAAACTCGCGACTATGATACTGTAGACATCTGCTTTAAGCAGTGATTCCTCCTGATTATGTAAATGGTTTTGTCGCTTGTATTTGCTAGGTTGAGGTAAACAGAGAACAGAAAGCCGTCACGTCCTACTTTCTGGAAGTAGTCACCATCTTCTTTTGGAAAAATCGGAGATCCCCGGATGATTTTAACACCAACGATTGGTTCAAAGGGATAATGACCCAGCTGGCCGACCTGACGTCACTGCGGATTCTATGGCCAGACAGATACACAGTGTCTTTGTACTATAACGTTCACGAGGTCTTCCCGTGAGTATCTTCTGTATTCTAGTCACATATGCTAACGTATGTTTATCATGTATATGTCAGGGTAGAGATTGCGATCGGAGTCTCTACTGGTAAAATCTCCGATCCTACTAGTAGAGATTGCAATCGTAGTCTCTACTGGTAGAGACTACGATTATATGGAATAACCTATGCAAGCAAGTGCAAGCTTATGCAAGCAAGTATAATAAGTGGGGATAATGCTGTATATTTGGTAGCTTTATAGTAGTTGAGTATTTCCCTTTGAAGCACTTTGAAATCTGGCTTTATATTATTTCGGCTTGTTTTATATAGCATATATTTCACTATTAGAAACACAAGATTAAGTAAGTTGTTGTTTTTACCTTTGAAACCAAAGATAATATTTTCGTGCGACACGTTAATATTTCCTTCAGACAATATATCAAGCCACTCGGATGCCTCCTTATTTGCTAGTTATAATTGAACTTATTTATTGTTATCTTGTTAACTTTATTTGTTAAGTCTGTTTTGGAGTAAGGTATTTTGTTTTTGTTTTTTGAGTGGAGTCCAAATTTGGCAGCTTGGTCTCATGATGTAAATACAGTGTTACAAACCATTTTAATTTTTTATTTTGATATTGTTTACAGCGAGGTGTTAAATGTTTGTTATCAAAGTCTCAGTTAAAAGTAGGAAGTTCATTCAGATGTATTTCAAAACTTATGATCAGTAATTGTTATAAAAACACTGCTTTCCAAAGAGGTGGGGAAATGACCAGGTGGGGATATGGCAGATGTGGTAATGACCTGGTGGGGAATTGCCCTACGCCTATCCTCCCAAAATGCCGACATGCCAAGACACCGATAGCTTGCAACAACAAACCAGTTCTGTATTTCCGGGAGCAGTGTTACAATAAGCCAAGATGCTTGTTCACCAATTCAGTTTTCTTTAGAAATATAATATGTTTAAACAAACCAATCTTAAGTTAATTTATACAACGTATGTGTTTCATTTACTAGTAAACTATCGTATGTGTTTCATATATACAAACGTACGTTGATCATATCTTCTTAAGGACATGCTTCATATTTACAGTGATGTGTAAATCACATATACAAACTTATGTGATTCACATATAGTACATGCTTCATATTTACAGTCATGTGTAAATAACATATACAAACTTATGTGATTCACATATAGTACATGCTTCATATTTACAGTGATGTGTAAATCACATATACAAACTTATATGATTCACATATAGGACATGCTTCATATTTACAGTGATGTGTAAATCACATATACAAACTTATGTGATTCACATATAGGACATGCTTCATATTTACAGTGATGTGTAAATCACATATACAAATTTATGTGATTCACATATAGTACATGCTTCATATTTACAGTCATGTGTAAATCACATATACAAACTTATATGATTCACATATAGGACATGCTTCATATTTACAGTGATGTGTAAATCACATATACAAACTTATGTGATTCACATATAGTACATGCTTCATATTTACAGTCATGTGTAAATCACATATACAAACTTATGTGATTCACATATAGTACATGCTTCATATTTACAGTGATGTGTCAAATACAAACATATACAAACTTATGTGATTCACATATAGGACATGCTTCATATTTACAGTGATGTGTAAATCACATATACAAACTTATGTGATTCACATATAGGACATGCTTCATATTTACAGTGATGTGTAAATAACATATACAAACTTATGTGATTCACATATAGTACATGCTTCATATTTACAGCGATGTGTAAATCACATATACAAACTTATGTGATTCACATATAGGACATGCTTCATATTTAAACAGTATACAATGTGTAAATCACATATACAAACTTATGTAAATTCACATATAGGACATGCTTCATATATTACATGCTTCATATTTAGTCACATGTAAATCACATATACAAACTTTTGTGATTCACATATTCACAGAAGATACTTTAGTGATGTGATTCACATATAGAAACGTGTGTGTTTTATACATACTAAAGGGTTTTTATTCAAATATGCAAACATGTGTTTCATTTGTAGTAATGGATGTGTTATAAATCCTTCAATCACACATACAATTATGTGTTTCATATATACCAACCTATGTCCTTCATACATACAAATTTATGTGATGTGCAGGATAAAACATTTTCCCTAGGTTTTGGTCGAGATTCTAAAATGTTTGATAGCTGGGATCGAGTGCATAAAACCGGGGGCGAGGTTTTCCTACTGAAACGTCTTGCCTAATGTTTATAATCATGTTTACAATATAATCATGTATACAGTTATTGAGAACAGACTATCACTGAAGAATGTATTTCAGAAAGAATCCGGTGGTACTGGATCAAGCCAACCCTTACATCAATGTAGCTCCTCTGGAGAAGCACCATTTCCTGGTGTTCATTTATAAAAGACACAATGTCTCAATGTATTTCAGAAAGAATCCGGTCGTACTGGATCAAGTCAACCCTTACATCAATGTAGCTCCTCTGGAGAAGCACCACTTCCTGGTGTTCATTTATAAAAGACACAATGTCTCAATGTATTTCAGAAAGAATACGGTCGTACTGGATCAAGTCAACCCTTACATCAATGTAGCTCCTCTGGAGAAGCACCACTTCCTGGTGTTCATTTATAACAGACACAATGTTTCAATGTATTTCAGAAAGAATCCGGTCGTACTGGATCCAGCCAACCCTTACATCAATGTAGCTCCTCTGGAGAAGCACCACTCCCTGGTGGTCATTTATAACAGACACAATGTTTCAATGTATTTCAGAAAGAATCCGGTCGTACTGGATCCAGCCAACCCTTACATCAATGTAGCTCCTCTGGAGAAGCACCACTTCCTGGTGGTCATTTATAACAGACACAATGTTTCAATGTATTTCAGAAGGAATCCGGTCGTACTGGATCCAGCCAACCCTTACAATAATGTAGCACCTCTGGAGAAGCACCACTCCCTGGTGAAGACGTGTGCCCAGAACGTGCTGTACAGGATGCAGGCGTGGAAGAACTACAGAACAGGACGCTACGCTGACAGTTAAAGGACATATGGACCACTGCATATGGACTAGTGCAGTGTATGGATACACTGAATATAATGTGAGGAAACCCATCCTGGCAGTTTCAGTGTTGACTGCTTAGCATATCAGTTTCTAATAAAACCCTGTAGATTTAGATCAAAATTCATCAAAGGTAGGGCTGGGACGATGCACTATGTCACGATGCGATACATATCGCGATATTTTACCTGCGATACGATACGTATCACGATACATACACCTTGAAAGAATGACACGGTATCAAGATTTAAATGATTTATTTCATGGTATTTGTGTTAAACAATAACACTATTGTAATAAACAAACAAGTAACTCCATCATACTTGCGTATTTTTCTCTCAATAAGTACTGTAACATGTTTAAGATAATACTGTTTTGCAAAAAAGTTGTGTGTCGTTTTGTATCGATACACCAGACGACGATACGATAGCTGTATCAAACTTAAATGTATCGCGATGCATCGGTGAATCGTCCCAGCCCTAATCAAAAGCCCACTTTGTGCTGTGGTAGTCATTGACGATTGATTGTATTGATAGATTGATTGATGCCATCTTCAATAACCCATGTTTATTCATAAGAGTGTATACCAACGGAATCGATTGGTCTGTCTGACACTTGCTATTGTATGCTTTTGGGCTGATTGATGCTCACTGTGTCAATCACTGGGTTGTCTGGTCCACACTTTAATGTGTGCATACCGCCATCATACAGTTGGAATATTGCGGAGTACAGCATTCAACAGAAAACAAGCACATAAAATGATTACATGTTTTTATTTATCTATTTGAATGAAGGCACCCCTTGTAGCTGTTAAAGTAGTGCTGATATGTATGCAGTAAATCGTGCTTTTGATATTCATTAACATCTAGTGCCTTATTTTGTCTATTTCTGCCCATTGTGTTACAGTGAGGTCTGTCTGTGTGTCTATCTATCATTATGTCTATCCATATGTATTTAGGTGTGCATGTGCGTGCGTGCGTGCGTGCGCGCGCGCGCGTGTGTGTGTGTGAATACAGTGTTCAATGGAAACTAGTATTTATGTCATCATTCATATGACGTTACAATTTAGTGACAATGGCCGGATACGTAAAACGTAGTCATAGATAGCAGTAATATTACGTGTGTGACGTCATCATGTTTTTGACGTCATGTACTCTGTAATAACAGTGGTAGACGTAAATGCCTTTCGCACATTAGGATCTGGAATTTCCCGCCTGTGTACAATGACTCGGTCCTTTAGTTACATACCGGTTTCTCCAATAGAATGGTCACCACATCTAGCACACACTTAGTTTTCATTGCAAACCTGAAGAGTTAATCTTAATGTAAGGTTAACCCCAGAACCAATAATGCACCGACATTACTTTATAATATTACATTTTATTGCGTTTTCATTGTGTTTCTCTGGTGTTACTGTTATTTGCTATGTACATGTATTACGCATGTATCTGATACTCCTATTAGTGTGATTTTTATGTGATAACCAAAATGGGAAATGAATAAAAATGCTTGATAGTCTGATTTGTGTTCACGACTTGAATTGAAACAGGAAACATGTCCGCGGCAGTTCCAGGGCATGTTTACCCTTTTCGCGAACACCTGGTGTCCTGACTGATCCTCATCCATTCATGTCACGGCTATTTTTCATGTTACGCCCAGTGGCGCGAGTTCCGTAGCAGTTAGGTTAATCTTCTAACTTCATTGGTAATACGACCTGTGAAGGTCCGGGTTAGAATTGGTCTTCAGCAACCCATGCTTGTTGTAAAATAATATAAGGGGCGACTAACAGGATAGGGTGGCCAGGCTAGCTGACTTGGTTGGCCACATACCCCTATTGCGTCGATCGATGCTCATGCTGTTGATCACTGGATTGTCTGGTCCACCCTAGATTAATTTATAGACTGCCGCTATATAACTCAAATATTGCTGAGATCAACCAATCAGTCATTAGTGATACTGTAGGCACGGTTCGGGGTGAATTTTGTTCCATGCAGATTGGAAATGTATTTAACTCAAATCTGATATTCCATACCCATGAGGGAAAATCCGAATACACTGCCATAGCAGGTCGCGATATGTGACCTCTCTAATCAGTATGTCAGCTTCAAAGCATCTGTATCATCCGAACGTATCGTTTTGGAGTGAAAGATTTGGTTTTAGAGTTTTCAGAATGAGGATACCAACGGCATGTTATCAAAGATTAATTCAGTGCATGTGTTTTACCCAAGTCGGTGGTGTGTAAACCCGAGAGGTGCCCTATGCTACCTACGGACGTATCATACGATTTCCAGGGATTAGTACAGGTAGATGGAGAGGTGATACAACCACACATTGTATCATCCATCCACTTGCACTCATGCATGTTCGCAACCTGTATATCCGGGTCCCTTGTCAACTGACCAGAGTTGAATCCCATATCCATGTCTACCGGAACAATAACGCAAACCAACAAACCAACCGACAAACAAACAAACCTTAAAAGATAAACAAACAAATAAACCTAAAAAAAGATGAAAAGTATATAATATGAAATAACACTAAAAAAAAAAAAATTATAGAGAAAATAAGACATGCACGGGCTTCGAACCGCGCCGGCGATTTAACCGATGCGATCTTGTTAGAATTGAATTGTGCAACTGTTGCTTGTCTGCTTATCGTAAGTGTCGACTAAAGGTTTAAGGGTATTGTATAATGCGCTTACCAGATGTCTGGTCCAGACTCGATTATTTACAGACCGTCGCCATGTACCTGGGAAATTGTTGAGTGTGCCGTTAAACAACAAACAGGCAAAACCGAGCCCTACTTCCACCGAGGAATTTCACAAAAATTGTAGTCTAGAGTATGTGTCTACTATAACGATATACACTAAACCTGTTCAAACAACATACTGGTTAAAATATTGTACAAAACATTAAGCAATGACATTCGCCGGGATTACCTATTCCAAATACGGATAGGTTTCCAAGAAACAGTGGCCTTTCCACGAAAGGTTCACTAGATAAAGGATGGTTGCGTAAAAGTCGGAGGAAAAAAGTGTCAATAACGTGGTTTTGTTGCATATTTGTATTTGTACAGTTTGTAAATAGTGTCAGGTATGGCGTTACGCCATAATATATATCGGGTTGTCGATGACTGAGTAATACGTCAATAATAACGTTGCCTCGTTTTGGCCCGGTCCGGCCCGGCCCGAGGTTTGTGCAATCCTGATAGGAGAGAGGCGAAGTAGATCGCTTTTCAGCGACACGCCGTCACACGAGCCGTCGTACAAACAGTGAGTATATACTGGGAACATTTAGTCAGCAGCAGTCATGGTATGTGCTAATGAGTCTGGGCAGTGATGGGTTATACATCCACTATATACACATACAACCACACATAACTCGGCCACGCGGTCTATCGGTGTGCACACTTGCAAGTTCAATGTGTTAGATGTCTACCGCGAGTGTACTGAGTGAACCTTTAGGTTGAATCTGCTTGATGTGTGAATAGCACATCCAAATGACGCCTTTAGAATAGTAAAATTATAATTTACTCTAATCCTCTGAATTAATTTTATTACACGACAACGCTTCGGGCATATCTAGTTCACCAGGGCAGGACACGCCCAGCTCTAGTATATGGCGCTGATTTTGATAATCAAGTTTGTCGTGTCTGATTTAATAATCATGATATGAAATGATATGATGACATGATATCTGACACCCACAGATAGTGACACACAAGCTTAGTGGTATATTGGATAGAGTATATTTTAATTTGGGTGCCTGCCTCTCGTGAAGATAGATATTCCAGCAATATCACCGGGAGAGGGGAGAGAGAACCAGAAATAGGCTTCACACATTTTACCCATGTGTAGAATCGAACCCGCGCCGTCGGCGTGACGCTTTAACTTTACCTGGCTTTTGTTTCCTTGCTAGGGGCCCGTTCATAATTTATGGCTAGGGGTGGGGGTGATGATTTTTATGGAGAAGCATGCACAATGTGAATGACCCCACCAGAAATTTATGTACAAAATAAGTGACCCCACCTTGCATGTCATGTACAAAATCAATGACCCCCACCTTCCCATAATTTCTAAGCATAATTTAACCCCCCCCTAGTACGTGTGTACAAAATTGCTGACCCCCCCTAGCTCCCCAGAACAAAATGGGTGACACCCCTTAAAATCATCATCACCCCCCTAGCCATAAATTATGAACGGTCCTTAGGCTCTCGAGAAGATAGATCTTGTTTCCTTACTTGGCTCTCGAGAAGATAGACCTTGTTACTGTGTCAGGCTCTCGAGAAGATAGACCTTGTTACCTTCTGGCATTAAAGGGATAAAACAAGTCGGCTCGGAGTCAATATACATTGTTAGAATGTTGTATCCGCGTTTAAGTGCGAGCAATAATCCTCCATTAGTCCGGACTAGCACAAGCAGCCGCTCAAAAAAAACCTCATGGACCGGTTTTCTTATTTGAGTGCAATAATCCTGAACGCAACAATAAATCCGATATTGCCTACCAACTTCATCTTGTTATGCTGTGTAATACATTTGTAATCTTTTGAAGTTTGACCTGGATTCCGTACATTGTATTTGGATTTTCGCCCAGCTCTATTCGAATTATTTATAGTGCTGACCTCAAGTATGTCAGGTATCTTTCAAGTACTATTTACTACTTCAATCAGTTTTTTCTTAAAGGTCACATGCAACGTAAAACACAACATTGCAGAATCTGATACCTTTCGGTATGGACTTACCGAAACAAATCGTCAAAAATGCAAATTCAACTTATAAAGTTGAAAAATAACTCGATGAAAAAAACCGCGCGAAATCGGAGTTCAAAAGTTTCACTAATTTTCCCCCGACTTTTCGGTTGTCCGGTGAATACTCGGTGAAGGCTTTGGTGTGAGCTATTTTTCTAATGTTTTGTTGATATCTCACAGGCGCGAGCTTTTTTATATGTTATGACAGTAAATTAACTGTTTATATAATTTCATTTGTCTATTTCACCACACGTTCTTCTTACCGAGTCACTTTCTCAGTTCGATACTTAAAAGCAATGTCATTATTTAGCGTTGACAGAACTTCTAACTGTGAAATAGATATGTCGTTGTCACAGACAAAACTCAATGTCTTGTTTTATTGACACCTGTGTGTCTGCTAATGACAATGTTCAATACACAGCTGCTATCACTGACCACATGCAATTTGAACTTAACACCAATCAGGCTATACACCATAAACAAAATGCATTGATTTATGACCCGAGTTCGGCCTCTGTCACATTATGTAATTACACAGACAGGCAGGTGTGATACTTGAACACATGACATGTTATGATGTCTATTGATTGTAAAATGTTATACACAAAAAAATGAGCATGTATTTTACATCTCTATATATACACACACAATGAGCCGTGAAGGCATCTGCAAATGAACCAGCCGTTACACTTGAGTGCACACCCACCCGCTCTGACTGGGTTCGGTATCCCGGCTGCTTCGTTTCTTGGGAAGTAAACCCAAGTACACAATATTGCACTTTTGATTTGCGATTGTACGCTTATAATTTTGTTTATATGTTTTTTCATAACCAGCAATGTATTATATGTCATGAATAAGTGATAATTGTGTTTTAATTATGTTTGATTTTTTCGTTGCATGTGACCTTTAAGAAAGGTTGTTAATGTATTTGTCTGGAGAAGTGTGTTGAGAGAGTGTGTGTTTGTATGTGTGTGTGTGCGTGTGCGCGTGCGTGCGTGTCTGTCTGTAGGGTAGACTAGAGGTTAAATGCTTGGCTCGTGACGCCGAGAGCCGGCTTCTATTCCCTTCATGGGCTCAGAATGTGAAGCTCTTTTCTGGAGTTCTAGCA